GACTCAGTCAGATTCGAAGGGGTGAAGCTGATACAGGCTGCTTCCGTACTACTGCGTCTCCCGCAAGAGCTGGCTGCAGAGGCTATTGTGATCTTCACCAGGTTCTGGGTAGGCTCAGAGGGCGGCAGTCTTATTGTGAACAACGCAAAGGTATGTGGAAAGTATATCTCGGCCGTATGCAAGTACTAAGATTCATCATTGTAGGATGTGGCGTCCGCCTCGCTTTACCTTACCGCAAAGCCCTCGGCACACCCGGTCAGCCCTAGGCTACTCTTAACAACGTTTGAATATCTAGACAAGGCCAGACCTCTTCACTCAGTCACATCGCGAAACAGTGTACAGCCTGAAGATTGCTTTTTGTCCGAAGGATCATACCATGCTGCCCGCAAAGTATTGATCAAAACTGAAGCCCAGATTCTGAGGACGCTCGGCTACCAGACACATGTTGCACTTCCATTCACCCTCTGCATCAACTACCTGCAAGCTCTGGATGCGTTCAAAGACCAGCATGCACAAGCCCTTGCTCGAAGGGCGTTCGCTCATCTGAACACTGCACTATTAAGCCCGCAATTACTGTACTTGACATACCAGCCGCCTGCACTTGCAACCGCTGCCATCTACCTCGCTGCTAAGGAAGTCGAAGTCAAACTGCCTGGAGACGAGTGGTGGGAGGTGTTTGATCTTGATAGGGAGGAATTAGGCTTCCTGGTCGTTGCTATGATGAGTATGGCAGGCTTTGCCGAAGAAGAAGCAGTCAAATGGGGAAAGCGAAAGGTCCCTCTCACCGCCGACGAAGTACAGTCAGAGGTTGAGAAGAGGAGACTTCTGGATGCAGGAGAGTGAAGGATGGGTTTTCAGGTCAAGAATAGGAGACCTTCATGCTTGCCGTATTCTGCCTAATGGCAGCTATTGCCGCCCAGGGGAGCAACGCTGATGAAATTGCATCGCTCGAGCACCACATGGCGAGCGCAAGCGCGATAAGAGCAGAGAGGATTATGGTACTGGACTTGGTGTGTGAGGAAGCTGTTGCGAAGAGGTGTCCCCATCGAGCTGGAATGCCTTTGTTGGTCGTATCGGAGAGGCGGCATCATGGAGCACCAGTGTGTTGCATTTCGCATTCATACGCGCCTGCGTACGAAGCTCCTGTGGAAACGTCCTCTCTGAGCTTGGTAGGAGGCGGCTGTGTCGCACAATAACCAGTTCTACACGTATCCATGGAAAGGATTGTGGTGGTACGCTACTAGTGTCTACGCAAGAATCGTCCTTCAGAATACGTACGTGAATCACAAACCCCACCACCAAGTCTGTAGTCATGTACTGAATACTCCCCCCACCCGTGGTTGGTTTGCGTTATATGTATATGGGATGATACTTGGATGTGGCCCTTCACACCATGTAGTAACAGCGAACTTTATTTGTGCCCAGAACTTAAGGACTGAGGATCTCCTTGACGGTAGATAATTTGAAGCACACGGAGCAAAGGCCGACGACGCTGCTCTCAGTCGACGAATCCGAGCGGGATTCACGACCCCCGTGCACTGCACGTCATGTCCCAAACGTGGGGTCAACAATTAACCCCAGCAATTAACTCATTTCTCTCTTCTCCTTCATATCGCCTTCAAGTTGATTGATTGACAACACTCTTCACAATGGCCGATATAGATCTGCAGGATGTGCACGACTTCCTCATCAGCACCGCCAAAAAGGCGGGCGAGATGATCACCTCCGCCCGTCCCAAAACAGGAGGCGCAGGCAACAAGAAGAACAGCGTAGACCTGGTGACGGAGACCGATCAAGCAGTGGAGAAGATGGTGTCAACCTCGCTCAGGGAACGCTATCCGGACTTCGAGTACGCTTCTCTCAACCCACCATACCTGCGACGAAGCTCACACCGCCAGGTTCATGGGCGAAGAAACCTACAAGCCCGGCGACAAGCTGAGTAACGCGCCGACGTTCGTGGTCGATCCGATCGATGGAACGACCAACTTCGTCCACGCATATCCATACGTTTCGATCTCGCTAGGCTTCGCCATCAACAAGGAACCTACGGTTGGCGTCGTCTACAATCCTTTCACGAACACTCTGTTCTCCGGCATCAAGGGCCAAGGATCTTTCCTCACGGACCAGAACCATGACAGAGCGAGGTTACCGCTGAAAGAGCCGGAGCCGTTTGGTGGTCTGGGCAATTGCCAGATTGCGGTTGAATGGGGAAGCGACAGGAGTGGGAACGACTACAAGGTCAAGGTGGAGACATTCAGGAAACTGTGTGCGGCAAAAGAGGATGGTGGTGCTATGGTACACTCGTTACGGTCATTTGGTTCGGCCGCGTTAAACCTTTGCGGAGTGGCTGCGGGCCACCTTGACGCGTACTGGGAGGCTGGATGCTGGGCTTGGGACGTGTGTGCTGGCTGGGTGGTTCTGAAGGAGGCCGGAGGCGACATTGTAGATGCCAACAAGGGGAACTGGAAACCAAGAGTTGAGGAGAGGCGGTACCTTGCGGTGAGAAAGGGTGAGGGCCAGAAGGAGATTATCGAGGAGTTCTGGGACAATGTCGTGGGTACAATAGAAGTGGGGGTTTAAAGACATGCGCTAGATTGTTCATTGAACTTTCTTGCACAAGATGCTGACACATGGAGTATACAAGAGATACGTCGACATAATTATTGACAGACAAAGCTAGACAATAGCCTGTCAAGCTGCGTCAGCGGAGCGCGATATGGAGATCCAATTGTTGCATGCAATCCAGACATCATTTTCTGGTCTCTCATTTGTGGAAGCAATGGGTTTCCGGACCGTAAATATGTCACATAAAATAGGCATCTCGGCTGGCTTTGAGCCGATTTCCCCAGCTTCCCCATGTCGATCATCTCTGATGTTCTTCACTCCACACGCCCACAGGATACAGACAAGCTTGGCAATACCACGTAAATGCGGAGGTGTGTGACCATTAACAGAATTCTCGGGCTCTAAAACAATGCTAAAAGCACGTCGTGCCGCCCTCCATCCAAAGGTGGGTTGTTATTTACATGTACCTGGAACGTGAGCCATAAGTCAAAATGCCACACATGTTGGTACTTCTCTTCTTTCTTCTCGGTGCATTACTGCGTCTTGCGTCTGCAGTGCATCTAATGCCTCCTGTTACTCTCGACTACGGCACCTTCCAGGGAGCTTACAACAAGAAATACAATCTTAGCTACTGGCAGAAGATACCCTTTGCCGCACCTCCAGTCGGACAGAATCGTTTCCGAGCTCCGCAGCCTCCTGATATAATCACTGGTAGCTCGTACGACACGACCGAGTCATTCGACATGTGTCCACAAAGAACCGACAACGGGAGCGAGGATTGCTTGTATCTAGGGCTATACAGTCGCCCATGGTTCCCGGGTATGCCACTCAAACCTGTAGTCGTGGTTTTCTATGGCGGCGGGTTCATCGAGGGCGACGCTTATTTCACCATTCCGCCGCCTGGGTATCCCGTCCTAAATGTCTCCGACTCGAACGACTTCATATTTGTCTACCCGAACTACCGTGTCAACGCTTTCGGTTTCCTGCCTGGGAAGGAGGTTGCAGACGATCCACTGTCGGATTTGAATCCTGGTCTGCTGGATCAGCATGCTGCACTGCTGTGGACACACAAGTATATCGAACACTTTGGTGGCGATCCGTTTAATGTATCAATCTGGGGTTGGTCTTCTGCCAACATATGGGACCTCAACAGAGCTAACACAGTGTAGGCCAGTCTGCGGGTGCGGGATCTGTCGTAGCTCAAGCGATTGCTGAGAACGGGCGCCAGAATCCACCTCTGTTCTACAAGGCACTGGCATCTTCACCCTTTTGGCCAAAAACCTATGAATATGACGCGCCAGAGGCGCAAGCCATTTATGACTCTCTGGCAAACATGACAGGCTGCGCCGGTCCGGACTCACTCCAGTGTCTGAAGACTATTGACGTGCAGACCTTGAGAACGGCTGCTTTAGCCATCTCTAGCAGCCATACATACAACACGTCCTCATATACATGGGCGCCCGTCATCGACATGAAGTTCCTGACACAGACGCTCACCAGTGCCACGGCAGTCGGCGCCATGAACATGGATTTCGGATTAGGCATGTACAACCTCCACGAAGGCGAGAACTTCATCCCACCAGGGCTGCAGAACACAACCGACACAGGCTCGCCGCCGTTCAACAGCTCACAAGCCAGCTTCGAGGTCTGGCTCAAAGGCTTCCTACCCGACCTGTCACAGCGGAACCTAGACAGGCTGCAGCACCTTTACCCACCCGAAGGCATAGCCGAGGAGCTCGTGTACAACACGACCTACGTCCGCGCCGGGCTAATCTACAGGGACGTGACACTGGCCTGTCCAGCACTCTGGATGGCCAAATCAGCGCACCTGAAGAGCTACGTCGGCGAGTATACAATCGACCCAGCCGACCACGGCGCGGACACGGTGTGGTGGAACCGCATCAATCCCATCCAGTCAGCGGACCCGTATATATATGAGGGGTTCACTGGCGCCTTTGCTAGCTTCTTCGAGACCGGTGACCCGAATGCGCATGAAGTGGCGAATTTGTCTCTGCCTGGCGTGCCTGAGTACAAAGAGGGTGGCGAGGAGTATGTGATTGGACCGGATGGATTCAATAATATTAGGCTACCTAGATTGGAGAGGAGATGTGGCTTTTGGATGACTGTGGCGCATGAGATATCGATATAGACTGGATGTATGATTGTTGGCAAACCATTGTTGCGGTATATTTTCTATATAGCTTATCGATCGTCTGAGAATTCACCTCTCTCGTATATTTCTGGAATACTTATGGATGGGAACACACTATTGCTGTATTTTCAGGTCATTGAACTGTAACCTTGAAGTAAATGAGAAGACTCTTTAGGACGTATAGCACGATACCGTTAGATCACTTTGCGGCCGTCGAAAGTTCAACCTGACACTTTGCACAAATCGATATGAATGGTTGTACTCATCAACCTTCCATCAAGTTGGGCGTCTGGCGCAGTGGTAGCGCGCCCCGTTTGCATAGATTCAAGATCATCAGATCTTGAAAACGGTGCCTCGGGAAGGTCTTGGGTTCGATCCCCAAGTCGTCCACAATTTCTTCTTTTGCCTTTTCGAGCACTATACATGGCCGCTTGCAATGGCTCTGATCCTGTCTTTTGCCCATGCACACGAAAGCTAGAACGCATATGCATTACGTACATAAGTTATGACCTGGCTGGCACTCGTATGGTACAGGTAAGCCGCAAGCGCAGACAGGTCTCGTTCCCATAACGCAGCGCCAGACCTACTGGCGCACGATATCTTTACTCTAGCACTGCTAAAAGACACACATGTACTGATATGAAGCACAATAGACACCGATTTCGAAAATCATGCGACATTCGCTACGTTGACATTTATTTATTCATTACTCCCCTTCCCGTCGCCCCTGTCCCTGAACGCCAGATCCCAGATCCCAAATCCCAACCCCCACACCGAACCCAGATCATACAATGCAATATACCCAATTCAGCCCCCAATGCCCTGCCCTACCATGCACTCTACAGATCGACGTTTCAGAGCACCGTCCGCGATGCTTCCTTCTCCTTCTTCCCCTTCCCATCTGGCGATGGATCCACGCAAACAAGCCCAAACCACTCCTTCTCCGTGCACGTCGTACTCGTAGTCGGCGACAGCGACGAAGGTTTAGGCCTCGAAGAAGGCTCCGCAGTAACTCCGGCAGTATGTGTCGTAGTCGTCTTGTCCTTGCAGCCGTAGATAACACCGGGGGTTTTGCACGACGTTGAGGATGAAGACCGCGACGAAGATGGATGGGTTGATGTCGAGGGGGTGGTGATTGTAGGTGCCGGAGCTGCGGCGGGAGTTGAGATCGTGGAGGTGGAGGTCTCGGTCGTGGTTGTGGGATCGTTACATCCGAACCAGCCGGGGGTTTTACACGTAGTCGTCGTCACAGTCGTAGTAGTGGTGGAGGCCCCCGTTGTAGTGGACTCATCCAAACAGCCCCACCAGCCCGGAGTCTGACACGTGGCCGTCCTGGTGCGGGTACTGGTACTGGTACTGGAGCTCGTCGACGTGGATTCCGTGCCGTTGCTCTCGTAGAACTTCCAGTTGTAGCAGTCCACACAGTCGATATCCTGCGTGCAGTTGGCGACGCTGTCGTATTTGATCAGCACGTCGTTGATGACGTTGTGGATCTTGTGCGTGCCGATGCCGACGCGCCAGCCTAGGTCGCCAACGGTGTCGTAGACGCAGGTGCTGCCGGTGTGGCACTGGCCTTGAAATGCATATCCCGCAATAGTGCAAAAGGAGGAGGCTGCGTTACATGTGCCCATAAAGATCGGGTCGGCTGTATGACCAAAATGGTAGGTGCCGGTATGTAAGCGTGCCTGGTGGCTGCCAATGTGGTAGCCTGGAGGAGTGGGGAGGCCGAGACGGGAAGCGGCGAGAGCGTCGGGGAACGTTTCGTAAGTGAGGGCGGGTAGGCCGAAGGTGAGGCCTAAGAGACCAGAGACTACGCCGCCGAGGGAGTGGCCGGAGAGCCAGACGTCGGACTTAGGGTAGCGTGCTGTGACGTTGTGGTACAGATCTTGTACTGCGTGGTAGTAGTGAGATTTCTCGCGGAGCGACTTCACCAGGCAGGACGAGTTGCAGGTGTAGGTTGAGGTCATACAGTCGCAGACTTGTCTCCAAAGGTATTGACCGCCCTGGGCGCAGCAGCAGCTGCCGAAGAGGTTGTCGTTCATCTTATCGTTGCCTGTCGTGTCTGCGCCAGGGTAGACGGGTAGTGAGGTTCCCTTGAGACCGATCACGACGGTAGAGTTCTCTGTGTCTGCGAATATGTGTCCCCGCAAGCCATCTGCTTCCCAACCAAAATCTTCTGTATAGTTGAATCCGCCTTCGACATCTTCCCATTCACCATCCCCGGGCGTCAAGATGTATGCATTAGCGGCCATGCGCGCAAACGTGATCACCGTCTCCTTGTCGGATATGTTCGGACCGGGTATTTCATCCATCGACCATGCTGAAGGTGGCAGGCTCGCAGCTTCACCTCTCAAACGTCCAGCTTCCAACAGCTTATCCACAGTCTCCCGCCGCCTATCAGCCATGCGCTGGATGGTCATGGAGCGCGACCGCGCCTTGAAGCTTGTTTGGGCCGGTATGGTGCCATCTTCTGTGAGTTCGAATATCGTGGAGTGTGGGTGGATATCAATCTTGCGATGCAGGCCCGGGTAGTCGTGCGAGCCATGATGGTAGATGTGTCGGAGTGTCTGTTGAGCCGGGGTTAGTACACGGAATACGTATTTGTGTTGCAGCGAACTTACAAACTCATGCTCTCGTGGTAATATCGGCGCAGCAGCTGCGTCCGGTGCCTCTACTACCGGACCGGGAGGAAGGAGAACATGTTGGTCATACCTATCTCGACGAGCGGCGAATGCCCGATCGAGAAGGCCGGCGGATAAAGCGAGATATGTTGATAGGAGGCTGCCAACACTTCTCATGATTCAAAGTGAGAGACAGTAGAGATACGGGCAGCACTGCGCATGATGCAGAGGAGAGTATACAGGTCGAATGTAGGGAGGAGGTTGTAGGTTGGCGCCTACAGCTGTTGTGGTTCTGGGTGGAAACGTGCCGCATGATGCATCTGGGGTTGGCCATCCCACCGCTTCTGCAAGCGAGTCATGACGTCGCGTCGCCGCCATACAAATCTGACTCTGAGACGGTTCCCCGCCTGACTCGCGCGTCGCTTGACTCGTGAACCGCGTGTCCACCTGGAGTACATGGCTACTTCAGTCTCACCATACATACCAGCCACACGACACAATCACGAGTCTCATCACATACACCTTCCGCCTTGTTTCTATTGAATCCCTGTAGTGACCATCGAGCTGGCTCTCGTCTTACGGTCGCATATAACATTCGCTTTGCTCTGCCTTTCCCCGTGTACGCTAGTTCTTTGACGGACCAACGCCTATCTGCCCTACACTGATTGTGATTATTTTACGGCCAATTTCTCCCTCTGTTGTACAACCAAGTCATACAACGTCTAGCTATGTCAGATTCACAGTCCACCGATGACAGACGGCCAAGGGCCCTACATTCTTCAAGATCCTTCACCCGTCTAGAGTCACCACAAGCAAGTCCGGCTTCATCCCGGACGAGGGCGAGCACAATCGGAACTGCCATCCCAAGCATACCGGAAGCGAGGCGTATACCACCATCAGCGGAAGAGCAGGGGAGAAGAAAAGGAGATATATTTGAATCTCTGGACGAGCATGAAGAGCACCCAGATCCCGAGCCGATTACCCCAAGCCGGCCTGAGGTGCAGCTGCCGGAGACGTTCGACCAGCTACCAATTGAGATACGAAACCTGACTGATCGATTTTTGAAGTCGCTGTCCGCCAAAGTACATGCTGCCCCACTCACAATAGATGCCATATCCGAGCTGTTTCAGGAATTCTATTTGCAAGCCGAATCACACATTGCAACGCACATAGCAACACTTTCTTCTCGTTTGTCACGGGAGAAGTCCCCAGCTGAGTCGGCCACATCCAAGTCCTCAGCTACATCAAAAGGTAGATCTCGGGGAAACTCGAACCCAGATAGGAAGGGTTCAGGAGATGCAGCTACAGGTGAGCAGCAGATGCTCACGGCATCTGAAATCACGGATAAGAGAAAATCGAGACGACTGTTAGAGCTCAAGCGAACTGCCTTGGAAGAAGCAGTCGAGAGAGGCGTATGTGAGAAGGTCTACGATCGCATCTACATGCACAGGAGTACGGATGATGCAGAGAGAGATGCCAAGCTGCAGTCTAGGACAGCCGCTCTTGCCTTGGTAGGCATTGGCCTGAAAGAGCTACACGTTGAGGTCGGAGAAAGTACAGGAGAGCCTGATGCGGAGAAGGAAGACGAAATATCCAAATCACTTGGCCCGGCTCGCGAGAGTTTGCGGCTGATGAGTGAAGAACATTATCCTCTCGGAAAGCTGCAACATCTCACAGCGGCGCATAAGAGTATTGTTGAGACGCTATCACAGCTGTTTCCATCCTCGTCTTCTGCAGACGAGGTCCTTCCAACCCTCATCTACACCTTGATAACGTCCCCACCCGAGACCTTGAGTGTCATTAGTGACCTCAGCTTTGTCCAGCGATTTCGCGCGGCACATAAGGTTGATGGTGAGGCTGCATACTGCCTGGTGAACCTTGAAGCGGCCATATCGTTCCTTGAGACGGTAGATCTCTCCTCACTCCGCGCAGACGAAGCGCCCGAAGGCCCCCCAAAGACCTCTAGCCAACCGAACAGCCGACCAGAGACGCCCACACCAGACATTGCCGTCGACTCGGCACCAAACCAACCATCAGCTCCACGCTCGCTGACACCCAGCCTGTCGCCCGCCTCTGCAGTCTCTTCGACCCTCGACAGCAACACCTCCAGCGCATCAAAGCCACTGCCTTCGCTCTCCGCCCAATCAACCCTATCCTCAAACCTGCAACCCCGAATCACCCCTCACCGCCGCCTCTCCTCTCTGATCGCCCAACAAGCCGAACGCATCGAAGCCGGCCGCGAGAACATTCTCTCCACCGCCGACAAGGCCTTCGACAGCATAAACAGCACGCTAGAAGACAGTTTCAAGTTCCTCTTCGGCCGTCTCAAAGAACAGCAAGCCGATCTTGACACCCCAGGGTCACCGCTCCTTGTTCCTAAAACCCTCGAAGACGCCCGGAACCTGATCAGCAGTCCCAGCCGCGCCGTCGACGGGGAGCGGGAACTGGATTCGGGCGACAGAAGCCCCGACAGCGCCACCGTCGACGATCCTTTGAGCACGGCAGGCCACCCGCTCAAGAACGACAAATTGCTCGACATGGTCGGCGGCCGGAGTCATCGCCGCCACGACCCCCTCCGCGACCGCAGCGTCGACAGCACCAAATCCGCCTCGAGCGGGAAACGCGTCGCCTTCGCTCAGAACTCCGCCGCTGCACAGTCGCTGCGCGCATCGGATAGGGAGAAGATGCCTCCGCCTGCGCCACCCGTACCTGCCGCCTCGGGCGTCGGCGACGTCCTTAATGCAATAAATCCGCTCAAGGGCTTCGGCG